GATTCTTGTTTGCCCACGTCTGAGATACTTCAGACTGGCAGAGGCAATGAAGATGACTATTTCTTCTCTGGAATATTACTAACTAATTTGTTAAGTTCAATCACTTGGAGGCCCTAAAGATGCATTCATTCCCTATGGTGGTCTTCTGAGATTTTTTATGGGACTGCAACAGCAATGGGTTCTGTTATTAAGGATGGGATCACTGGATTTTATTAATTCTAATATTTATTTTTGTATTATTTTGTAAGCATTTCTGAAAGGTGGAGTAAAATAATCATCATCATTCAAAGGTACTCAACCTAGGATACATCCAGAGGGCTAAAACAATTTTAGATAAACAAACTGTTGTTGCTATTACTGTGTTAAACATTTCTTCTGCACTTTTTATCGCTCACATTCATTTTGGTGGAAAAGAAAGTGCACGTCCTCATCTACCTTCATTTTCATAGTTCTGTAACACTTGAAGAGGATTCTTCACTACAATGGAAGTACCTGTTGTAAAATTCATGGATAAAAGTTGAAATCCATATTACAGTTAGCTCTTTTATGGCTAAGAGAGCTGCAATGGCATTACAAGACAGACACAACTCATTTGTCTGATGATAGGTTTTATATATTAGAGTTTTGGAGGAGTCACTTCCATTATGCTGAAAAATCCTGCTGTACTCTCACGCAATTTACTCCTGTCAGGATGGCTTCCAGACAAGCAAGTGTTTGAGCAGTATTGTCATTGTCTCCTGTGAAGTGATATGCAATCCTGTGAATATGTGATATGCAATTTTAAGATACCTACCAATTTAGATATGCAATAGAAGATACGTACAAAAAGAATATAAAATCCTCTTTATTGGCAGAAGATAGGTTGCAACGGATGGGATTATAAAGCTAGTCTTGGAAGAAGGTACACCAGAACCAGGCTTTAATCTGCTGAGGAAAAAAAAAATAGAAATGTTTAATAAATGTCATTTATTCCTTGTCTACTTTAAAAAATAATAATAAAACTTTGGAAAAACATTTTACTCAAATGTCCCAAAGATGGCAGCAGAGTACTTTCAATTCCCACTCATTTCTGAACAGAGTTTGCAAATCTGGAAAGGTTTTATTATAAAGGCAATTAGGTTCAGAGTCAATCCCCAATAGACACATCTCTGATTGTTCACTTTGAAAATGTAATTATGCTAAGTCATCATGACACCTGAGAAAAAGTATTGCTAGAACCAGAACATTTTGAGGTGAAAATATTCTTGGTGTTTGCAATATTTCCAAAAGCAAACATTCCTTTAGGATTTGTTCGTATTCAGTATTTTGAAGGGAAAGGTTAACGATTCCAGTCTTCAAATGTAGATTCTGTTGGGCCTGGGGAGATTCTGTGACTAATAAAAATGCACAATGCTTTTGAAGAAAGTATCCAAATGTGAAAAAACAAACCTCAGACAACCAGTTGGAAATTCTTTTCAGGATGGAACAAAAGCATTTCAACATATTCAGATTGTGTTATGAAGACTCTTCTTCCATGTAAAGTTCTATTAATAGACCTCCTGGGTTCTTTTCTCTCTTCAAGGAGGTGGTGGGGGAGGCTATTAAACATTCACAGTAACTATAAACACAGTTAAAGTACAAAGGTGAATAAAAATAATTGAGTTTACTTGCCCCCCAAATAAATAAGCTAATATCCAAAGCAGACAGATAATTTAGTTTTCCTTCAAGGTGGAGGAAGGTAGAGCTAAATTCTCTGAGGGAAACCTGATTTTAAAGTCCAAAGCTTATTCTTTGTTGTGGACTGTTCTGTAGTCACTGTTGGGCATTTAAAAGTCACTTGCTGTTTCCTATCTCTCTGTCCTCTTATTACTTTTCCTTTCCTTTCCTTTCCTTTCCTTTCCTTTCCTTTCCTTTCCTCTCCTCCCTTCTTTCTTATTTTTTTAACATCTTTTTCTTAATCCTCCCTTCAGGGTGGCCATTGTCTCTAACTGCTAGAAAGAGGTTACTTCTCTTGGCTGTTCTCTTCAGCCTTCTTTGTGTTTTTTACTAGATTTGTGCAAACCATTTGAAAGGGACACCTGGCAAGCCATTTCGGTGTGACGTACTGCAAATAGCCCCTTCTTCTATTCAGCTACATGTAGGTGTGATGAAAAAGCCCATGAATTGTTCTCAAGAAGACAAGAAAATCTAGTTCCTTTATCTCTATAAAAAGTGGTCATATGTGTAACAGAATATAAAGCCAAATTAGGGGAAATGCTTTTTTCTCTTTGAGGGAAAATAACAACCTGGTTGATTACCAGAGTCTTCTTGAAGGACCACAATTCACTCCAAATGTAACAGAAATTTTCAATATGGAGCTTTGTCTTTCTTTGCCTGTTGGGATAAAATTGATTTTGCCTTTGTAGCCCATGGAAAGGCATCTTCGGGTATTAAATTTAACATAATTTAATCTCAGGAAATGGGTTAGGCAACATCTGACCTTTTCTTTCCTTCTGAGACAATCCTAGCCTTTATCCTAAATACTAATGCTGCTGCACATTGTAGGAGGTCAAAAGCCAAGTATTAGTTTTAAAAAACTGATACAGCTGCCTTGGTTTTAGGGTTGTTGTTTTTTCTCCTTCCCTATGGAGGGCTATATTCTCTCATGGGTAACCTGTGGAGGGACTTGACAAGATAGAGCCAAAAATAGGCATTTAATTGTTCATCCCCTTCTGTTCTGTCAAAGGTATGAATTTCTTTGCTTTCAAAAAAGAGTTTCTGTTCTTTGTTGTGGAGGACATTGGTAATCTTTTGGTGATTTAAGAAAAAGAACTAGGATGGTGTTCTTTAAAATATACTACTTTTTTACAGTTCATCTTTAAACAGAAACAAAGATCATGTCTTTGGAATGTTATCCCTGCTCCCTATCTTAGTTTCCATTACTGATATTTCAAACAACCCCAACATTAACTCTTGTTTTCTAAGAGTGATATCTCTTTCAACCTCAAGGCAGCCTTTCCTTTAGTAAAAGGTTTTTCTGCACTGCTCCCATCATTTTTGTATCATTCGTCCTGAGAACTAATTTGAGCTAGTTGCAAACTGTAAGCCTTCTGAGATGGATATCATGTCTCTACACCAACTCCCTGTTGTAACAAATAAATATTGCAAAACTACCAGTGGTAATGGGAAAATCTCTGCTTTTTCTCACCAGATTGGTTTCAAAGAGGATCCAATTAAAAATAATATAAAAGCTAGAGTATTCCCATAAAACAGGGTAAGTTTGGCCAGAGATCTTCAATCCAGATTTTATTTTCTGGAAACATACTCACGTGCTTGTGGTTGAAATATTGCTTCATCCTTTTTCTTTAAAAGTGAACCAGCTGGAGAAACCTACTTAAAGGCTCTAGTCAGCAGTTCATTCACTCACTACTCTTACGATTACATGCATAAGTTGTGCTTATGACAGTCTCCAAATATTTATTAGTTTTCAGATTGATTACAGAAGACTTCCCATTAGCTTCTTTCTCTCTGGGTCAAGTGAAAAAATGATTAACTTAGAAGGTGTGAGAAAAATGCAAAAAGTAAAAAAAAAAAAATTGATTGCAAAAAGAGTGGACTGAAAAACCTAACCCTATTAAAAATAAAACAAATTAAAAGGAAGGGCAATTTGTTGGCTGCAGTATATGCTAGAGGTATAAATTTAGGAACAAGCAAATTCTTATTTTACAAAAAATGTAAGAGTTACTCCTATTTGTTCCGTGTCAGAAAAGTAGGAATGTGGGTCACCTGTGAGTAGAAGACAAAGGAAGGATGCAGTAAATAAGAACTTTAGAAGACCTCTTATGAAACGACCAAATGCACATCACTGATTTCCAAATATTTTTGGAAGCTTTCAAGCAGAATATGAATGACAAACATGTGAAGCCCTCAAATAGCAGGCTACATAGATATCAGTGAACAAAGAAGGAAAAGAGAACTCATTTAGACTTATGCATCTCAAAAAGGTATTGGTTGAAGGTAATCCACTTCTCACTGTGTTACTGCCCACAAATTGGTGTTGGGTAGCTTATTGCCTGCATAGCTCCAGGTGCCCTATAGCCATTACATCCACTAGAACTGATAGGCTGAACTTTGTGAATTGGTTCAAACTTCAAAACTACCTTTAGAAGATCACTAAAGTGGTTATCATCACATCTATTAAAAACTATTTCCATAGATCTTTGGAAGTGTTCCAAAGGACAGACCTAGGAAAGGAGAGGAGAGACAGTGGCTCTGTTAAATCCTATGCTGCTGCTGTTTGTGCACAGCAATAGATTGTCTCCCAGGATTTATACTAATTTTGTTGTACTTATTTATATTTATTTATATTTCGAATTTAGATACCACCCATCTCACAAAAAGTGACTCTGGGCTGTTCACAATAAAACAACAATAAATATAAAATACAATAAAACAATATAAAATATAGTAAAAATAGAATAAAACCAAACACATACACAAGTAATATCTTCCAAGATGTTGATGGTC